TAAATATTGCCCGCCATGTTAGATTGTTTCTTTCAACCATTAGTTCGAGTTCATTTCGTTCAGCATGCTATGTTGTCTGTCACTGGTGTAGATGATAGACTTGGGGATAAACTGCTAAGATAGATACACGTATTGGCGACCTATATCGTTCATACGTATACGTACGCGTGGACGGTGGTGTAGCCTAGTAGCGCTCGTCACGCCAAAGATCCGGTTCGATTACCAATATTGGCACCATGGTGTCCACTCCGTGATATTACTGGGATATAACTAAAAGCGGCGTAAAACAATACTCATTCACTCCTTCATATTACGCCGAGGTAAAGAACTCGTTATCCTTTTTGCCACATAGTATTTCTTTCTTAAAGCGTGAGAGCCTCTCATTTTTTTAAGATGCCAGAATTTAAGATTCGTTAATGCGTCATTGTTTTCTTGGTTTCAAATTGTGCTTATTGTTTCTCGTGTTTGCATGTATTGCGATTATTTTCGTTTTGAAACGTTGCAGCAGGTTGATATTGGGGTGTGACTCCAACTCTTAAAACGGCACTATTCTACCGTTATCCGGCTTGTCCTGCAGTATTGTCAAGTTGTATATTTGCATTATAATTAATCAGGAAATCACGAAAGCCTCATCATACGATCTATGTATCATAATAGTTGATTCCGATCACAGTTCTAAACGGGATAAACTCTTTTATTCTACTTAGTCAACTGTCTAGGGTTGTGTGATCGACATTCTAGACGCTGCTAAGTAAATAACGAATCATACCACTTCATGGATGACAACTTCAAGTTTATTGCATGGAGCGCCGTTTCGGTGTAGATTCATATACCGTTATCAAGCTGAAAGTATAGGAATCTACATCAAAACGCAATAAGCAACCGTTAACGTTCATAAAGTAAGCGTAACTATCCTGGGTGTGTACGAGGAGTATGTGCATTTGAAATGCTGATGTGGAGTATGTTTTAAACATCTTTTCCTGGACATACTAAGATATGACGCCATGCCTTCTGTCTGAACAGTTCAGCCTCGGCAGTTAACGAGTTGCACATGGGCCCGATACATCGCATCCAGGCGCTAGCTACCTGTAGACACACCTGCTCGTTCATTAACACACGTGTCAAAATATGTCAATCAATTATACAAAACCCCTCCCTGTCAGTCAATGTTTGTTTTGGCAGCGGAATCTTGGATGTTCAATATGTGTGGAGTTAGCGATGTGGTTCAGCAACATGACCGCTTCCATAGTGACATGGGCAGACAGTGCACAATTTATTATTAAATAGAGAAAACGTCACGAGTGACTTTTTTCACATCGGAAATATGAACCGAGTCAGATTTAAATGGTGTTTGCGGAGCCTTTCGTGATGGATTTTGTTTATCATTTTCACCTGACTGTTTTTCTTTTAAGCTATAAATGCATCAGATTAACATAAGAATCTTGTCAGATTCTCACTTTTTTCTCGCTACGTAGCGGTACCTTTTTCTCACACTACGTTGCAGTACCTTTTCTCACTACATAGCGGTACTTTTGTTTCCTTTGCAACGTAGAGGTACTTTTTCTCACTACGTAGCGGTACATTTTTCTCGCGACGTAGAGAGGCGGTGGGGTAGCCTGGTGGTTAAAGCGTTCGCTCGTCACGCCGAAGACCCGGGTTCGTTTCTTCACATGGGTACAATGTGTGAAGCGCATTTCTGGTGTCCCCCGCCGTGATATTGCTGGAATATTGCTAAAAGCGGCGTAAAACCCAACTGACTGACTCGCTCACTCTCACTACGCTGGCATGTGAACCAACAAGACAAACTGTTAACACGTTTATGGTACATTCAGTCGCCGAGAAAAGGAGTTCCTTGGTTTGTTTTAAAAACCACGTGGACAGATTTTGCAGAATAATGGACACCATAACAGCACCAACAACAACCATTCTGTGTCAGTTGATCATATCTCTGGTATAACTTCACTGACATTAACTTTCTATCTTACCTGCGAAAAGCGCCCATCGCCCGGTTATCCAGTTTGCGTTTCTAACTTGAATTCTCATGTCGTTAGGTAAGACATACATGTATTTTTTTTTCGTTTTGTTTTGTTTTCGTCAGAAGCTTACTTATCGGATAAACGATTTAGTTGAGTGATAGAAACATGTCCCCGACACCACTGCCACCTGTCTGCTGACTTACATCCCTTTGTTGCCAGGATCCGCAGATCGATCACCAATCTCATGTCAGATTGGACAATACATGTGGAATAGATAAATAATCATTTTAAACACGGAATTATTATGAATGCTACTGACATTTACTGTAGATGTAAAATGGTGTTTGGTGCCTTCATCCCGAACAATGTACTTCACACTATTACCAAAGAACATGCACCTATCGGTAAGATGTAAAAATTGGGCAACACGTTGCTTGATTTAAATTCCATTCAGTTGGACTGACGTGGCCTGCTGCCGGTCAGAGGGCTTGAATGATAAACCCGCGAAGATCCGAGTTACAACTGATCTGAAGTAACCCATGCTTGTCGTAAGAGGCGACTAACGCGATCGGGTGGTCAGGCTCGGTGGCTTGGTTGACACGTCATCGTTTCAAAATTGCGTAGATCGTTGCTCATGCTGTTGATCACAGGGTTGTATGGTCCAGAGTCGGTTATCTACAGACCGCCGCCATATAGCTGGAATATTTGCTGAGTGCGGCGTTAAACAACAAACCAACTGAGTTTGACTGCTAAACCAGCAATGTGTGATACATATGTGACGGCGATATCGTTGTCTGTGAACTATTGATTCACATATGTGACACGATGTGTGGATGTGTATTCAGCGTCCTATATCTGTGAACCGATTAGTAACATGCTACCTACACCCTTAATTCTCAGATGAAGCATGATGTATAATTTCTATCGACAACAACTTACAGTCAAGTGTCACTTCAGTGAATATACGTCGTGTGTTCATGACAGTTTGTATTTAACATCACAGAAGGTAGTGTATGGTCACGTGATGTACTGAAGATGCGGGCACGTTTTGTATACTGACAACATAAGAAACGCACCACACTAAAATGCAGCGACGATGCTCAGATATCATGGGTACATTTCAGTCTGACGGGGATATTTCGCATTACATGGGTGGTGCGTTTCTAATGTTGTTCAGTATATTATGTTACATTCACGTTGGTGAAGGGGTTCGGGTGGCTGTTGGGGGTGTTTTAGTGTAGGGAAGCGGGGAATAGCATCAGGTATATCAACGAGAGCTATCAGTAGCTGCTTCAGCAGCTCGGAGTATGCCGCAGGGACCCGATGATCAAAGGGATGACTCATCGGGAAATGTCTGATGCGCTTAATTGATCACTCAACATCATACAAAGCACACAGGCGTGTAATGTGTGTGAAATAAGGCTGATGATGATATTTATAAAGTATTTTACAATATGTCTGCCCTTCGAAAACAGCTTTAATATTAACGCGGCAGTTAAAGATGAAGGCAGTTAAAACCCCACACAAACAGAGAAAATGTTGTGCGATATATATGCATATATTGCGAAAGAATACTAGTAAGACGCCCTGATCCATCAGCTCCTCTTGTTCGCAACATAGTGGAAAGCCATACATTTCATTATATATACGTCTCAACATTTGACGGACATAGTGTGACTGTCCAGGCTGGGTGTCCGTCTGACAAGTTGTGAGGTGTGAGGAGGTGAAATGGGGTTTAGCATTGTACTTAGGAATATTTCGCTCATGTGACGACGTGCATGCGCGTGTATGTGTGGCTGCTTGTACTAGCCCAGACTAAAGCTGGTTTATAGTGCTAGCTCACTGAGATACCATGCCGCATTTAAGCATTAATACCCCACTCAGACACATTGTACTAGCTCCGAGTCGATTGTGTTGTGTTGTACCCATTAATGCCGAGCGCCAGGCAGGGACCAACAAATACCATAGTTTATCGTCTTTTGGTATGACTCACCCGGGGATCGAACCCGCGGCCTTCCGCTCTCCGGTCGGACGCTCTAACCACTACACCATGGAGGCGGTCTGAAAATAGGATGCAATTGGACTTGATGCATGTTCAGCTTCACATCCTGATTAACAAAATAAACACTCATATCAATCGTTTACACCAACGTACGTGAGAGTGTAAACAAGCACAGTAATCCTATCACCCGTTGAGCCGTATATTTAGGAACACCTAGTATATGAGGTGGTAGACTTTTTCATATCCTGGGGGAAAATATTTTTTTCAAAGCGTGTTAGGGAAGACAATTCCTGGAAGTGTGCCAACCAATAATAAGTGACGCGTTTCAGCCGGTTTAATTCCGCGAGTTGTAGCTACTGACAGATACATGGACACGACATGGTCCGAGATTGCCAAACCTGTAACTACACGTATACTCACTAAGTCCAATGAAACAGTACATGTAAGTCCCAGGTCTGCTGGAGTCGTGTTGATTGTATAGTCCAATAGATACGGTAGAAATAGGGGACAGTCCGGGGTCATTGAGTCTGAGTACATATACCAGCTGGTTGACGATGAACTAGGGCGATGGGTAGCCTAGTGGTTAAAACGTTCGCTCGTCACGCCGAAGGACCGGGTTCGATTCCCCACATGGTACAACATGGAAGTGTGAAGCCCATGGAGTTCTCCGCCCAGGCCCTCGTGTCTTTGCGAGGATTAAAGATTTTAAAAAATAAATTGAGATGAGCTTTGATTCGAAATGCGTCACAGCACAATAGATAATGACATTTCGAGTCGGAGGTCATCTCAATTTTTACATTTAATTTTTTTATAATCCTCGCAAATACACGAGGGCCTGTGGTTCCCCGTCGTGATATAGCTGGAATATTGCTTATTGCTGAGCGCGGCGTTAGACAACACATGACGTGTGATCTTTAAATAACATTGCATGATCAGATATTTCGCCTGTATACTTAATTCGTTTACGGGGATTTACACGACCTTTTTCATGTTACCTGAGAGTTATCTCCCTTCTCTTCCAGTCGTGGTCCTCTGTGCTTCCCCCGACTCCGTGAGAGACATCATGATCCACGCCCACGACCTCAACTTTGACAACGGGGAATATGTCTTCTTTAACATCGACCTATTCTCCAGGTAAGCAAGCTTTGTTTCTTGGATAATCAAAACAACTATCCAAATGTAAGCAATTATTCAATGTTTCCAGCGTGATAAATACTGACTGAAAGCTCCACCAAAGTACACAATTCAGGAAATACGACCAGTCACAATCATGGATGAAAAGTTGCGAATAAATGACTTTCATCATAAACACCCAGCTGGATAATTTATGCAAACATGTATTCTAAAATACATTTCTGTGTTAAAGTGGGAATACAATAATGAGAAAAAATCCTCAACACGCGATATGAGTGGTACCAAACAAACTGTGATGTTTGAATTTCACATGTTGTGTAGGTGAATCAGTTTTAACGCCGATTTTATATTTGCTGCCCGGTGCGTTCGACAAAAATTAGAAATCGACGCCAACAAACTTGGATTCTCGCATGGCTGAAAGATGGAATACCAATCAGTATATACAAAGCTTTTTGTGAATATTTGCACTGTACAACTACTTGAAAATGTATAAAGTGCTCATTTATTATACTTATATAGTATTAAAACTCCAATATGTTGTCTCAACCATACTATGTACATTAATGCATATACAGCAAAAATGAAAGCGAGGCTTCCTGGTATCGAGAGGATGACACACCGGAAAGAAACGAAAAGGCACGAAAGGCATACGAGGCCTTGATGACGGTGACTCTCCGGAAACCAACAAGTCCTGCATACAGAAAGTTCTCGGAGGAGGTTAAAAGAAGAGCCCAAGTCATGTACCCGGATTTCACGTACGGGGAGGAAGAGGTAAGTGCATACAAGATCATTGTAAAGTATGTATGTTTACAGAAGCGAATCAATGGCGTGTTTTATGAATGATATTAATTTGATGTTGAGCATATCCTGTATCATGATAAATCTATATGAGAGTCACTTTGAATCAAGTGATGTATGAAAGAACGAGCTCGTCACACATCCTAAATTAGTGCCTTTATCTAGCCAGTGGATTAGTCCAGGATAGGACAGGTATCCCAGCAACCTGTATTTGTCGCACGAGACGATTGTTGGGATCGAGTCATGGGGCTCATTTGGTTTAATTCATTGCATGTCATGGTACCACCGACGGCTTGGGACTTTCCTCAAAATATCAGTCCCGACATCAAGAGACAATTCTTTTATGCTGACGCTCTCACTGGAGACCTCCAGAATATATCCAATGCACAACTCAAGACACTTTCGTTATGCAATGAGACAACTTACCAAACATTAGGCGTAACTTTACATTCACCCTCTCACGTTCAACATTTGTACACTGTACTACTCGAAAACCATTTAGGAACACCCTGTTAGTTCACATCACTTTTGTTAACATGATATCAAATGAACAGTGGTATGTTGTATTTTGCATAGACATGTCTTTGAATTATCATGGGGTTAAAATATATGTGCTTGTGATACAAACACATGTATGCCAAAACATGTACACTGTAATGATTTTGTTTTGTTGATCGGGCGTATCGATATTCTGTTTACAATTTCTGGTTGCTGCTTCAGGTTAACAGTTTCGTGGGCGCCTTCCACGATGCCGTCATCCTATATGCCTTGGCCCTCAACGAGACTATTCAAGCGGGAGGCAAAATATCGGACGGTGCCAATATAACCAGGCGAATGTGGAACCGGACTTTTGAAGGTGAATTCCACTTCTAGCCTTGAGCTCGTTTTCAAAAACGTTCTAAAAAAATCTAACAATTTGCTTAAGTTGCATTTACGTAAATGTGTTCATGTGGGTGTTCATTCCATATTTAGACAAATGAGCGACAGAAAACTTATTTCATCATAAGGCTGTTAGATATCAGGGATAATAACAGACAACATACTGCAGTACTTTACACAGCAGGAAAATCTTCACACAGGTGCCTCACAAGTCATGTTAGATATCAGGGATAATAACAGACAACATAGTGCAGTACTTTACAAAGCAGGAAAGTCTTCACACAGGTGCCTCACAAGTCATGTTAGATATCAGGGATAATAACAGACAACATAGTGCAGTACTTTACACAGCAGGAAAGTCTTCACACAGGTGCCTCTTCACAAGTCATGTTAGATATCAGGGATAATAACAGACAACATACTGCAGTACTTTACACAGCAGGAAAGTCTTCACACAGGTGCCTCACAAGTCATGTTAGATATCAGGGTTAATAACAGACAACATAGTGCAGTACTTTACACAGCAGGAAAGTCTTCACACAGGTGCCTCACAAGTCATGTTAGATATCAGGGATAATAACAGACAACATAGTGCAGTACTTTACACAGCAGGAAAGTCTTCACACAGGTGCCTCACAAGTCATGTTAGATATCAGGGATAATAACAGACAACATAGTGCAGTACTTTTACACAGCAGGAAAGTCTTCACACAGGTGCCTCACAAGTCATGTTAGATATCAGGGTTAATAACAGACAGCATAATGCAGTACTTTACACAGCAGGAAAGTCTTCACACAGGTGCCTCACAAGTCATGTTAGCAGTACTTTACACAGCAGGAAAGTCTTCACACAGGTGCCTCACAAGTCATGTTAGCAGTACTTTACACAGCAGGAAAGTCTTCACACAGGTGCCTCACAAGTCATGTTAGCAGTACTTTACACAGCAGGAAAGTCTTCACACAGGTGCCTCACAAGTCATGTTAGCAGTACTTTACACAGCAGGAAAGTCTTCACACAGGTGCCTCACAAGTCATGTTAGCAGTACTTTACACAGCAGGAAAGTCTTCACACAGGTGCCTCACAAGTCATGTTAGCAGTACTTTACACAGCAGGAAAGTCTTCACACAGGTGCCTCACAAGTCATGTTAGCAGTACTTTACACAGCAGGAAAGTCTTCACACAGGTGCCTCACAAGTCATGTTAGCAGTACTTTACACAGCAGGAAAGTCTTCACACAGGTGCCTCACAAGTCATGTTAGCAGTACTTTACACAGCAGGAAAGTCTTCACACAGGTGCCTCACAAGTCATGTTAGCAGTACTTTACACAGCAGGAAAGTCTTCACACAGGTGCCTCACAAGTCATGTTAGCAGTACTTTACACAGCAGGAAAGTCTTCACACAGGTGCCTCACAAGTCATGTTAGCAGTACTTTACACAGCAGGAAAGTCTTCACACAGGTGCCTCACAAGTCATGTTAGCAGTACTTTACACACAGCAGGAAAGTCTTCACACAGGTGCCCTCACAAGTCATGTTAGCAGTACTTTACACAGCAGGAAAGTCTTCACACAGGTGCCTCACAAGTCATGTTAGCAGTACTTTACACAGCAGGAAAGTCTTCACACAGGTGCCTCACAAGTCATGTTAGCAGTACTTTACACAGCAGGAAAGTCTTCACACAGGTGCCTCACAAGTCATGTTAGCAGTACTTCTACACAGTAGGAAAGTCTTCACACAGGTGCCTCACAAGTCATGTTAGCAGTACTTTACACAGTAGGAAAGTCTTCACACAGGTGCCTCACAAGTCATGTTAGCAGTACTTTACACAGCAGGAAAGTCTTCACACAGGTGCTTCACAAGTCAGAATCTGCGTATCCTGAGTTTTGTGTTCATAAAATGCCATAGTTATAGTTTACCTATATGGGTGTAGATCTCAACATATTAAGTGGGAAGGGTGATGTTGAACAGGGTCTCAGCGAAGACTTATCTCCATTATTCATATTTTCACAGACTTTATAAGTATTAAAATGCGTTCAAGCAAAACGGTGATAGGATAGTCTCGTGATTAAGGTGTTCGCTGGTCACGGGGAATATCCGGATTCGATTCTCCACTTGGGTGCAATGTGTGAATGTCGTTTCTGTTTGCTAAAATTTTGCCAAAAGCGGCGTTAAACCCAGTTCTCACGCTCCTTATTCGAGCGAAAATACGAATGCGATTTCAACGATACAAAGCGTATAGCGTATAAACGTGGGAGATGTGTATACTTAACGGGCAGTGGGGTAGTCTTGTGGCTGAAGTGTTCGCTCGTCACACCATGGGGTACTTTACCATGTTCTTGCCTACTCATGTGGATTGACATCACACATTTTATCAATACCCCACGCTGTAAAATCTAAACAAGCATATGATTAAATAACTGTATAAGCAGTAGTGCCATCAATTGTATCCGTTGTCTGTGGTGTAACGTTGAAGACCCGGTTTCTTTTTGGTATCAATGGTGTAGCCTCTGTTCTCTTGATATTGCTGGAGTATTTCTGAATGCGGCGTACACCTCACTCACCTCAAGATAAGCATGTGTTTTCCAACTGTTATTTGCAGGCATTACTGGTACGGTCAGCATCGACGCCAACGGCGACCGGAACGCCGACTACTCACTACTGGACATGAACCCCGAGAGCGGCAAGTTTGAGGTAGGTCCACAACCTTGAGGCTGACACGATCGTTAGCATACGACATATTGTAGAGGTTCAGAGGTGAACAGACTCGAACTTAGAATTGTCCTGTCCATTCTATCCACTATATATTATATTTCCTCTGCAGCTACTGTCCATACATCAGTGATATAACTTAACTAGACTGGGGCGTACAAACTCTTACGTTATAATGGTCGTGTTATCACTCGGGCGTGTGGTTCTGTTTATCGTGGTGTCATACACCGGCCACAGAGGCGGTGGGGGTAGGCTAGTGGTTAAAGCGTTCGCTCGTCACGCTGAAGACCCGGGCTCGATTCCCCACATGGGTACAATATGGTGTCTTCGCCGTGATATTGCTGGAATATTCTCATTCACTCATTTCTGGTCACAGGTCGGCAGCATATATTTAGGATACTGGGGCTAGGGTACTGGTCCTGCCGAGTTTTGTCTGTAGTTCAAATACTTATTTTGTCCTAATACAGGTTGTTGCAAACTACTTCGGGAACAGGAAACGCTACGAACCGGTACCTGGGAAGGAGATCCACTGGGCGGGAGGAAGAACTTCTCCCCCGCCAGACGTGCCTAAATGTGGATTTGATGGCGCAAAATGTCCGCCAGAAGGTATGTAGAGATAACTTACTCCCCTCAAATTGTTTAACCCAGTCGTTGGTTGACAAAGATAACAAATGCATCGTATTCCCATCATTTGAGTGTAGTAATGACCTGTCGTAATTTAGGTGTTTTGTTTATACTACCTCTTCATTATAGACAAATGCTCCCCATGTTAGTTCCCCTTTACGATGTTCTGGGAACTTTCTCATGTTTCCCACTGCTAGACGTCGAATAAATGAAAGGTAATAGTATTTTCTGAAACCCCAGCAATGACTGAAGACGTATCATTTAACATGGATCCAAGTTAGTATACGGGTGGTCGCTGCCTTGGCAGACACTGACGTTGTATGCTGTAACTAAATTTAAAACAAAACTTAAACAAAACACAACACTGCAGTACACTTACTTCTCCTCTGACGTAGGTCGATCGGAGTACTCTCCCAGTGCTTAAGTGCTAATTGTCTGTCAAGGTGAGTGAGTGAGCAGCCCGTGGGGGTATGCTTAACCTCTGCTCCACCGTAACAATTTCCACGTTGCTTCGTATTGCGCATTTTCTGCAAGATGATAAATTTGAAAATGAACAGCATCCTGCAGAAACACTGGTCGTTAAAACGTGGGCAATGTGTCAAACTTGATAAGATTTGTAATATAGAATTTCCTGAACGATGTCAGGATTTTCACATTAACCTTTCGGCGTTGGGCTGCTGGCTATGTTTGGGGCGGGGGAGGTTTGTTTCAAAACGTATGAAATTATGTTCTTTTCCTATCTTTTGATGTTGGAAGTGCTAACTAAAACGATATACCTAGATCAGGATAGACCCGTGACGATATGTGTTAGACGTTGTCCTCCGCAACCCAAGCTTATCCTCAGAGACGGCTAACGTGATAGGGTGGCCATGTCAATGTATCCCAATTGAGTAGATCGATGCTTATGATGTTGATCACTGGATTGTCTTGTCCAATCTCGATTATTTGGAATGGAATGTTGCGGCGTTAAATAACAAACAAGCAAACAACATCATATACTAGCCACATAAAGAAACTGTGCACACAGAAAAGTCTTTCAGAATTGGAATACAACACAGCAAAGAACGAAATGATGTAGACACTTTATAAGCTGAAGTATCGGGCCACAACAACATGTGAAAAGAACATGAACAATATCCGTAGCGATGACGTCAGAAGTTCAAAATTGAATAGGGGGTCACACGTCGAAGTCACAAAGTCAATAACGGGTATGACCATCATGCGCGGCAGTGCCTCGACGACGCATAGAGGCTACCAAATGAGCATTGAAGGCCTGGGGAATGGTTTGGGACGTGGTCACTGCCGACTGGAACCTGTGTCTGAGATGAGTCACCCGAATCCATGTGTCCTGTCTTGGCGTCGTTACTCGGGGACGCCCAGGACGTGGGTGGTCGGCGACGTCATTACTGTTTCCATAACGCCTGACCAATGCAGATATCGTGTTACGATGGCATTGGAAATGTGCTGCCACCTGTTGTTGGCTCATGCCTGCTCGAACCATTCCAATGGATTCATGACGTTGAGCAGATGTTAATCTTGGCATGATGTGCATGTGACTTCTCATGTTAATTTGTGAACGTTTTAATGACCATAGAACAGGCTTTCGACAGTGACAGCAATTTCTGAGTTTCCCATGTTTTGTGCATCTGCACGGGCTGCACGTGCAGTAACACATTGCAAGTCCATAGGCCACCATCAATGACGTCACGTAGCCTGGCACCTGCATGAGCGTTTGATTGTCTCCAATACTTGTTATGTTCAAACATTTATATATGTATAAATACGCTGTCTGCCTATCTTTATATTTTCTGTGTGCACAGTTTCTTTATGTGGCCAGTATATATCATGAATATTTACATCTTTAATGCATTTGACATTGTGGCTTGGTGGTACGTCATGAATATGTAACATAGTGATTCCAGTGTACATTACATCCTAAAACTTCATTCCCTTTACACTCGTTGAGTGAGTTTAGTTTTACGCCACTTTTAGCAATAGTGCAGCAATATCACGGCGGGGGACACCATATTTGGGCTTCACACATTGTACCCATCTGGAAAATCGAACCCGGATCCACGGCGTGACGAGCGAAATCTTAAACCACTAGGCTACCCCACCGCCCCGAGAACGCGTGTAATATGCATGTGACATGTGGAATGGGTGAGCAGCGCGTGAGTTCCGTGTCACACGTGGGTGCAACGAGTGACGCACGCGTGTAACATGTGTATGTATACAACGTATTGAGCCACACTGTTACAAATACCAACCCTCAAGCCCACCTCCTACCCCGAGGCGCGACGTATCAACGTTATGAATAGTGTAGTTACGACATAAGGTATCGATAATTGTGTGTCGTTGAACCTTTGTGGACCATTGCTTATATCAGGCACCAGTTTGCTTATATCAGGCACCAGTTTGCCTGTTGCAGTTTTCACAGGCTGTGGTGTCTAGAATGTCTGGGCGTAAACCAACCCCTTTCACTAAGGGAATACATTTTTACAGGTGACATGTTTATTGTGCAATATGGAAACAGTCGGCTTCCACTCGTCAGTCTGAAAAATATTGATTTTGTGTCTGCAGAGAAAGAGCAAGGCATTAATTGGGCGTTATTTATTTGTGCGCACTTCCTAGAAAAATTACACTGGAAATACCTGATTTTATCTGAAAAGAAGACAAATATTTTTTAATGCTCGAGGAAGGAAACGACTGAGTCCCTTGCCAAATGCGTTAGAAGGTCCAGGAAACCGGTACTTTGTTTACACGGGGTAAGGTAGAACTCTGGAGGCACTGTTTTGAATTATTTCTCGGGGGGTCGAGAATTTGGGGGGCGGGGAGAGTGAGTGGATCACATCTCTTGAGTTTAACCGGCGAAAGAGATTTATACCTCTTAAAAACTAACAAAATTATTCATTTGGTGATTTTAAATTAAAAACGTGTCAATATGAACACATAGACAAACATACGAAGTCCCATGTGAGTCGTTACCCCCTCTTATGCAATGGACTCGCGCGACTGAGTGTAAATTTCGTGCACATGCAGCGCAAGTTTCGAATCTCAATCTCTCTGCTATTTCTGTCAACAATGTCGAACAAAATAGGTGTTGGCTTTATAGAACATGCAGGCCCAATCACAACTTACATGTCTGTGAACAGTTTCTTTAAAAACAAAACAAACAAAAGCAACACAAAAAACATAACAAAGAAAACAATAGCAAAAGCAACAAATTGTTGATATTTCCAAAATACATTTTACCGGACTATATTTTCAGAGCGGGCTATGCAGCATTGACAGATGGTTGAAAGACTGGGTTTCAGATCAAATATTTGTTTTTATAATCTTCTTTCAATAAAAGATCTTGCTGGTTGTTTAACGCCGCACTCAGCAATAGTCCAGCTAAAATGGCGGCGGTCTGTAAATAATCGAGTCTGGACCAAACAATCCAGTGATCAACAGCATGAGCATCGATCTGCGCACATATATTGGGATACGACCCCGTTAGTCTGACCACCCGATCCCGTTAGTCGCCTCTTACGACAAGCAAGGTCTCCGAAGATCAATTCTAACCCGGATCTTCACGGGTCGATAGTGGATCAGATGGACCCGATGTGTAACGGGCGGTTGGATATCCTTGTGGTGTCCCCCGCAGTGATATTGCTGCAGTATTGCTGAAAGCGTAAAGTCACGTTTACTCAGTAACCTTCTCACTCTTGGTATAACAGATATCCTCTGCGTCAAACAACAATCACGCACTCACTAAATTATTTCGTCATGTATTTCACCGCCGTAACATCTACGTGGTTAAGTGGCGTAAAACCACATTCACTCTCGTGAAACTCACTCACTGCCATTACGTTTACAGAACCCTTCCCTGAGTACGGCATTGTGATCATTGTGCTCGGCTCCGTGCTGCTCATTGTCCTGGTGGCGACATTCTTCATATACAGGTGGGTGACTTCGTGTACAATCACCGGGCAAGATACATCCAGGTTTGATGAAGGCTACACTTGACACCAACAACTCGTAGTTCTTCGATGGTGACATATTTGATACGTATCCACAGGGGTTCGAATCACTGTTTGGACAATTATGTTTAAATATAAAACTCAGACTTTTGCAATCATATTTTGTTTTTATATGTTATGATTAACATATACTCATGCCAATAATGGTTGTCACCCCCTTCAATTTTTTAATGGAGAGGGTGTGTAGGTGGGGTGTGAGGTGTGTGTGGGGTTGGGGTGGGAGGGGATGACAACCATTATTGGCATGAGTACATATTTCACATTTGAAGGAAATCGGTGAAGAAATAATATTTTAGAAAATTCTACCACTACACATTTATAGTACTGTATGTAATAGCGTGGCGGCAGAACTTAAAACAAATTATTGATTCATTGAGCTATTTTTACAAATTATTCTCTAAACAATGATTCGAACCCCTGAGCTTGTATCACTGTTACGGTTTGGTTCACGAGTTTAGTGAAGGACCGTACACCGATGTTTGGTCTCTGTGTGTTTCAGCAATTCCTTTCAATGACGTTTCTGATATTTTTAGCAAACCTGTTATCACGGGTATACTACATTTGCCGGCAGTTTAGGTTAACGCTACGTAATTTCGTTCTGTGAACGCCTACCAGAGCATTCTGGTCGGAGGCCCGGATGTAACCTTGTGTCGCTCATACTGTGATGTCTTAATGCTTGGACAGTGGGCGATGGTTGAACAGTATCATCATTTACATGTACATTTACAGAGAAATAAGATGCAAAAGAGTATATCTCGCCCTTTTCTTTTCCAATTAATATCAGAGCTTGTGAGTACGTAACCTGTGTCCATTCCTTAACACAAGAATAGACGAGTGATGTTGTTGGTGGTGTTGGCGATGATGATGATGATGATGATTATGATGACGACGACAGTAAACATGGATGCTTGCGACGATATGGCTGAAGTATGATGAAACCTTAGACTTGATCTCTGTGACTAAACATGGATGATAATAGTGATGATGAATTATTATGTCAATAATACTTGGACGAAGTCGAGGGCGCTTATGGTGATAATGATGATGATTATAAACATTATTATGGTAGTGATGATCTCCTCTCACAGACATATAAAGCTGGAGGCCGAGTTGGCCGAGATGAACTGGCGCGTGAAGTGGGACGACATCCTCTTCGGTTCACCTGGTAAAAATAAGAAACTCGATCGGAGCGGAAAGGGAAAGATTTGTGAGGTAAGTGACACTCCTGTGACCCTTGACACCTGGTGGTTGTCGACAAAACAGGGATCACATTGTGTTCAGAAGGGATTCGAACTAACAGTTAACGGATCACTAACTCCGCACAGCGAGGACAATAATTAACCAGGTGTATCTGTATTTTCTATGTAGAAATGTACTAATGTACTAATGAAAGTTGTGTTCCTAAAACACGACACCCGTGAAAATCCAAGTTAGAATTGATCTTCAGTAACCCATGCTTGTCGAGAGGCGACTAACGGGATCGGGTGGTCAGGTGCGCTGACTTGGTTGACACATGTCATCGGCTCCCAATTGCGTAGATCGATGCTCAAGCTGTTGATCACTGGATTGTCTGGTCCAGATCCGATTTTTTACAGACCGCCGCCATATAGCTGGAATATTGCTGAGAGCGGCGTAAAACAAAATCACTCACTCACTTAAAAATGAATTTGTTCCGTGGAGTACTGAAAACATATTTTGCGTCATTATTGTTAAAATGTAGCTAATATATTTCCTGAAAATAAGAAAGAAACGGTCCTTCGTTCAGAGCCATGTTGCATAACTGAAATTAACAGAAAACTATCAATCTCTAACGCACGCACACGCACGCCTATTTCGAAAAGAACCTTCAAACTCTGACAAATCGTGGCGAGTCTTCGTATTATTAACGTAATTTACCATATGGGTTATTGTCACTTCTACAGTTCCATGCATGACAGATGATATGTGTCCACTGTTTCAGCGGATGTCGTTCTCCAGCTCCTGTTCGAGGGATACGATCGCTGTACTGAACAACGTCGGCAACAGGCAGCTGTTTACAAAGACGGGGTATTACAAGGTAAAACAACACGAAACGGGAGACGGTTTTAGGGAAAACATTGCGCATTCCATCAACGCCAAAAAATGAAATGTACTATTTTTACGACCGAACACATACTTATTGGCGCACGACTATTTAGAGAACTTCCTGAGGAATAATAACAACTTCCAATTTTCATTCCTAACCACCCATCAATCAGGATTGTTCTGGTAGAACAGTACAATGTATAGTCTCGTCCTTCACGTATAGTTTAAAAGGGCGACATGGTTTAATCAGAGTTAATTATAACAAGATAAAATATTAACTGTTACTGATATTTCAATAGACATCTACATTGTTGTTTTTCTCATGCCAAACAGGCTTTGGTCTGTTTTGTTTCTTCGTCACAACAGAAACAGAACATACTGTGACTGTCACAATGGGTCTATATGCACGCATGTTGTTGGGGACATTGACATGGATCAACTAAGTCTGAGAGCTGAACACTGATTAAATGTGTCGATTCTGACCTGCAGCCTGACACGGAAAAATGACGGGTGAAATTTATATGACGATGAAATCGCCGTGTTTTTTAATATGAAGGGAAAAGTGAAACTACACCTTGTGTTAAAAAAAATCTAAAAGAATTAGCATCAGTGAAAACCCTAAAGACCGATTGAGTACATGCTGGAAAATATGTAACCGGAGGGTGTTACATCTGAGGCGGAAGTAAGTGCTGCGTGAGATTGCAGTCGGTTGATGTGGCTAAAGGGTGAATTTTGTTTTACGCCGCTTTCAGCAATATTCCAGTGATATCACGGCGTGGGACATCAGAAAAGGGCTTTACATATTGTGTCCATGTGGGGAATCGAGCCCGGGTCTTCGGCGTGAAGAGCGAACGCTTTAACCACTAGGCTACCCCACCGGCCCTGTGGCTGACATTCTATTGCGCATTGTATAACACTCATGTAAATTAGCATGGGCGGCATAGCATCCATTGTTGTGTGTAGCTCCGTTCCTGTAGCTGCTCGGAGAAACGCGATGCCTCATCCGTCATGGAATACAGTCGTTTCAAACGTACTATCATGTATAACCGTGAAGATCCGGGTTAGAATTGGACTTCAGTAACCCATGGCCATGCTTGTCATAAGAGGCGACTAACGGGATCGGGTGGTCAGACTCGCTGGCTTGGTTGACACATGTCATCGGTTCCCAATTACGTAGATCGATGCTCATGCTGTTGATCATTGGATTGTCTGGTCCAGACACGATTATTTACAAACAGCCGCCATATAGCTGGACATTTTTTGGGAATGCGGCGTAAAACAACAAACAAACAAACAAACAACAAACAAACAAACAAGAAGTATTTCACGCGGGGTTACTGGGGGATTGTATTGGCGCTTCAAATACTATTTAGATGCACTGTGCTGTTCGCATCTATGAGCTGATGTGGCAGCAACGTGGACGCCAGTTAAGTTCCCATCAATGAGGAAGTGAGTGAGTGAGTTTAGTTTTACGCCGCACTCAGCAGTATCCCAGCTATATTGCGATGGCCTCTAAATATTCGAGTCTGGACCAGACAATTCAGTGATCAACATCATGAGCATCGTTCTACGTAATTGGGAACCGATGACATGTGTCAACCAAGCCAGCGAGTCTGACCACCCGATCCCGTTAGTCGCCTCTTATGACAAGCATGGCCATGGGTTACTGGAGTTCAATTCTAACCCGGATCTTCACGGGTAAATTGCCCATCAAGCATGTCATATGACATTTGATATTGATGACATAGCTAGACGGATTTAGCTGAATTTCAGTAGCTTGATTGTAACAATACACGTTTAAATTTCTGTACGACAGTCTGTCTGGTGGGCATTTTTGATTAAAGAAAATTCAAAAAACCCAACTACTTCTATTAAAGCAGAATTAACGGGGATCGTAAAAATGGTTAATATAGTGCCGTGTTGTGGATTACATCTCGATCGGCGAATCAAAAACAACAAATCTCAATAAATTTATCAACTATCACCAGCTTAACCTCGTTAACATCTGTTGAACCAGTGATGCTGAAACCTCACCACTGATGCCCCTTAATGTGTTTGCTGAAGAGATTCGAATTCAAGTTTCAATATGTTCACCACCTCACCCATAATGTGAAAACTGTTTATGGCCGTTACTCCATCATTTGTGATGAAAAATGATTTTTCCGGCGTTGTTGTTTTTTTCGTTTTTATTTTAAATAAGAATGTTGTATGTTGGTGAAATGAAATATTTCAGGAATATCCTTCTCTGTCTGAAAGTGTTTATTTTGGATTTTGATTTTAATTTTGAAATAAATAAGCGCACATTACAGCGGGAAGACAATACCTTTATGTTAATTTCCCAGTATTTGGGATTTTTTCTTTCCGACGTTTGGAAGAGCCACCTATACTGACTCAGAGCCTCAGGCTGTTTAGGTCTAAATAATTGTGTGATTCAATTAAGTCAGATTAAAAAATCCCTGTAAACACCTGGCGTAGAGGTGAGATGAAAAGGGGTTTAACGTCGCACTAAAGAATATTTCGCTCACATGACGACGTGCATGCGTGTGTATGTGTGGGTGCTTGTACTAGCCCAGACTGAAGCTGGTTTTATAGTGTCAGCTCACTGAGATACCATGCCGCAGTGAAGCACGAATACCCCACTCAGATACATTATACTGACTCCGAGCCGACCAGTCCTTGTTGTACCCATTAATGCCGATCGCCAGGTAAGGACCAACAAGTACCATATTTCAACGTCTTTGGGTATGGCGCCGTCGGGTGGACACTCTAACCTCGGAGGCGGTCAACTGGGGTAGAATAGTTTGCAGTATAGTATCCGAATTGCGTCGATCGATGATGGTAGTCATTAGATTGTCTCGATTGTAGCATTTGCCAACTTGTCCTGTTACTTGGATCAGGCATTATGGTATTCGTGTAAATATGACAATAGTAATATCAGTGAGTGAGTAAGGTTAGTTTTACGCCGCACTCAGCAATATTCCAGCTATGTGGCGGCGGTCTGTAAATAATTGAGTCTGGACCAGAGAATCCAGTGATCAACAGCATGAGCATCTATCTACGCAATTGTGAACCGATGACATGTGTCAACCAAGTCAGCGAGCCTGACCACCCGATCCCGTTAGTCGCCTCTTACGACAAGCATGGGTTACTGAAGATCAATCTACTAACCCGGACCTTCACGGGTCAGTAATATCAGTAGTGACATCATGTATATAGTGTGTCGTGTCTACCCCATGGATGTATCATCACGACGTTGTATCGACACAAGGGAAAATATTTCTCAGAGTACAAGCACAGCACTGGAAGTAGATATTGTTTTTTGTGTGTGAGATTTTCATGTCTGTGTATTGGGTGTTTCAGGAGCTATCATAGCCATCAAGCCCATCTCACGGTCCAACATTACAATCCACAAACCTTTACTGTTAGAGGTAAAGAAGGTGAGTTTCCGTTTAATCCACACTTTGTCACTGATACAGCATAGCAGTTTTCTTACATTTCGATATTGGATGTTAAACCTGGACGATCGTCTTACGAAGACATTCTTAACGTTTCTGATGTTTTGGTTAAACACCATCCTCGATAATCTCCAGGGTACACGTTACGATCACTCTCCACTATACCCTGGATGCATCTACAGCTTGGCCCGATAATTATATTACCTCCCTTGGCTGGCTCCGCATTCTCACAGTAGCCAATCAGCTAAGCCGCCGTTACATCCGAGCTTGCCAGTGTCAACAAAGACAGCGGTCGCAGTCGCGAAGGTTTGTTCGCAGTACCACTCAGAGTTTTTGAGAAATAATACAGACAAATTGACAGATCTGAAACTTTCAAAAAATATAAAAAAGAACTCCTTCCACATCTTTCAGAGTACCTCTGCATCAATTGTGTTGCCAAGTTTAGATAATTTAAGAAGCGAAAGTCAGTTGTGATTGGTTCGCTCAACTTCCCAGCGTAGACACCTGACTGGATAAAAAGCCAGCAAAGCGAGGTAATAAAATCATCAGGCCAAGCCGTAGATGCATCCAGGGTCTAGTGGAGAGTGATCGTAACGTATACCCTGGAGATTATCGAAGATGGTTAAACATATGATGATATTACTAATCTTAATGAAATTATAATTTTTAATATAAAATCTATTTAGATTCGTTACTTGTCTTAAGTAAAAGTTTGACAGTGTCATTTGCTTGTACCGCGTGCCATAGTCAGACAATAGCAATACCGCGATAGTAGTGAGTTTCTCCATTTCCGCGTCAAACGAGGCAATCAGGATTGCAGTGATCGCATTGAACGAGTTGCTATTATGTGCCGCATGATTTGCGACAGAAATGAAGATTAAACATCAGTCAACTGAAAATATATATAAAATGCCAAATGTCAATAGCCGTTCATTATTCCGATAGAGACAACATTACAGTCTGTAACTGCCGCGATAACAGAGGGTCCCGTGCTAACTACATGCTGAGGTATATCAACACATGTTGTTGTCATGTGTCGTCGCCATAGGTTAATTGGCTAGGACTTGGTTCGGACTTCTCAGTATTAATTTCTGCTGCCGTCATACTTTTCAATCAAGACAAGGTTACACGACGGAAAGAGAGAGTGCTCCAGATTTGTGCCAGATTTATAGCGTGTTACGTCTGTTACATATGTGACATCTTCCTCTCAATCACATGTTTTGATTTGTTCATGTATCGATCTATTTGACAGATAAAAGATTTACAGAACGACCACGTGGTGCGGTTTATAGGGGCGTGTCTGGACCCACCCCATCAGTGTATACTGACCGAGTACTGCCCCAAGGGTAGCCTACAGGTACAGCAACGTCCCGTTACATTTAATAGTAATAATGAAAATATTTATAACCCGCCTTCTCCAGGCTAGATATCCTGTTCAAAACGCACAATCTGATCATTATTACCCCGGATAACCCAAGCTGCCTGTTAGGCGCTAGAAGGTTAATAGTCTCAAGATATATTTCACCGGGTACCCATTTTCTGCTGGGTGAACAGAGGCAATTTTGAACAAACTCACTTGCCTAAGGTGTGATCACATGTATCACATGTGCTTCGTTGTGGGGCAGGACTGAAATCCTAGAAACTCTCAGGAGTCAAACGCAGTTACCCATCCAAAGACTCTCCGCGCCCGACGTTGATTAACTTCAACTGATTTGTGACCAGAGCTCTACGTCCAGGACCACACACCGCCACATATATGGTCGAATCTGTCAGTGTCAACTACTACTAGTCTAAGTTGAGGTTATACAGAACCAACGCATGCGTATCACAACAGGTCACTAGTACCTAATTCTTGTCGTGAGACGACATCAGGTGGTGGCCGTGTTGTGTCATGCTGCCCATTAGTACAAGGTTCGTTGCATGCGCTATCGTCGATTGGTTTGTCGGATCAACTTATCGAACCCTCCTTGATCTAGCGGGAATATTGCTTAAACGACATCAACTCACTCACCCCAATAACACGCTGTAGTGCATAGGTGTATGTATGGACATTAGGACTACTGTCTTGGGACTGGAACATTTCATTGTAATGGTGAATCACTATCTTAAACAGCGTTGCATTAATTTTTACATCTTTCAATGAGTTCATGTGGTTGGCGTTGTTTTCGAACTTTAACACAAGGAAGTAAGAAGGGAGCGACCACAAAGCAGACATTTTACGGAAATCTCTTGTGTATCATCTCGGGGCTCCTGGAGTAGATCCTCCTCATTTTATAGACGGTCGTTGGGCCTTAACGTTGAGGAAGGCGTAATGCATTTAATAATCTGATGACAGTTTTACATTTATTTTATTTCCAGGATGTGCTGGAGAATGACGAGATACAACTAGACTGGATGTTCCGGTATTCGATCATGCAGGACATAGTCAGGGTGAGCTTCTTGATGCGTCCTTGTTACAAGATGCGGCTGCTGAAGATTCGTGACTGTTGCATACATGAGTCAATGATCAGAACCATATGAATCCTTAAGAGTTCGTCGTTCGTCGAATAGCAGTCAAATTGCCCCGAGGGCGCACAAAGTTAGATTTCTGCGTGTAGGATATGTCTGCCCACATCGTGACACTTTCACCACCATATCGGTCAACCTGGGCTACACAATTCTGAGCAGAACGTTCATTTCGACGTCGATGGATGCGGCTCTGAAGCAGGAGGCGTGCTTCGTCACTGAACCATACACGACAACACTTTTGTAGAATCAAAAATCGAACGTTATTGCACCACTGAGCCATTCGACGCCGATGTAGTCGTCGCAGCACAGGGCCCAAATAGGGTCTATTGTCCAGCTTCTAGTAAACGATTATGAATGGTTTGCGCCGATACTCTCAAACCAGGCACTGCACTTGTAGTTGACTGTTCGATTCCGCAAATGCAGTACAACTATGTACGCTAACCTATCCTGCGTGCACCGAGGTCTACCGATCTTGCGTAGAATTGGTTTGTGGATATCGGTGCCATAACCGACTGGTGGTATTGGGGAGAATTTCGGTTGTGACTTCATGTGTAACCTCTAAAAGGTTTTTAAATTCAGCGGATTAAATTCACGAAAACACACTTATGCTCTTCTTGAAAGTGAGAGTATATGGTGAACTGTGTATATGTTACAGGGAATGTGATTTCATGTAATCCCTGAAAGAGTCAGTGATTTCATGAATCCCTGGTTCCACACATTCCCTGTAACATATATGTAGACTGGTTTGTATGTCTGTATACTGTTTACGGCAAAGCCACATCACTGAACTAAAGGGTTTGTTTGCAGGGAATGGCGTACTTACACAGTAGTGAAGCGAAGAGTCACGGGAGGTTAAAAAGTACGAACTGTGTTGTGGACAGCAGGTTTGTGGTCAAGATAACGGACTTCGGTCTCCACTACTTCCGGGAGACGGATGATGACTTTGATGAGATGGACTTCGCACTGCAACAGAGTAAGTCATTCAAGAGATGTCAATATTGCCCCAGCTACTGTAAATAAGTCGAACTCGAAACGTCGCATCGGCAACTTGTTGGTCCCTGCCTGGCGCTTAGCATTAATGGGTTATACAAGGACTGGTCGGCTCGGAGTCAGTGTAATGTGTCTGAGTGGGGTATTCATGCTGAACGGCTGCATGGTATCTCAGTGGGCTAGCACTATAAAGCCAGCTTAAGTCTGGGCTAGTGCAAGTCGTCAGATGAGCGAAATAGTCTCAAGCACGACGTTATATCCCATTTCACCGCACCTCAACCAATGTACAGATAATGTAAATATGTTGAGTAAAACCTGTTTGAAGCGTTCCTTACACAAAACTGCAGGAGAATTTGCCTTTGAATGACACGTATCACGAGATATTTTACGGCGCTTCCTTCGATAAATTTCTCCAATTTGGAAATTCTGTTCCTGTCGAAATACTACATTTCCATGTGACGTCAATATCTGTGGAAATGCAGGTAGACGGTCACGTCTTGTCGGTGTCTACTGTCTATTGGTCTACTGTCTATTTACAGGCAGACTATGGACGTCTCCTGAGCTGCTGAGGCAACAAAATGCTCCCAGCGAGGGGACACAGAAGGGGGATGTGTTCAGCTTCGCTATAATCTGCCAGGAGATTGTGTACAGAAAGGGCGTGTTCTATCTACAGTACATCGACCTGTCTCCTCACGGTAAGCAGTCAATGTTAATGTGGCATCAGCAGCTGTAATGTAGGGCACACGTGATTATGATCTGGGATGGGAAAAGTATTTCATGCAGTACTGCATCCAATCCCAAATGCATCCTAAATATCTTCCTTTGACCGTCTTGACTGAGGTGTTCCCACCTTATAATCCTCCAATGACGCCACTCTATTGTCTCGCAAGGTACTTATTTTACGGAGTAAACCTCTACAATCAGTTTCGCGGGCATTCGTGGCACTAAGAAATTCCTTTGATCTTAGAACTACAGAATTGCCCGGGTCCAGAGGGTTTTCTACAGAATTGCCCGGGTCCCAGAAATTTTCTGAGGAATTGCCCGGGGATATCGGCCCTCCCCAATTTCCCTCTGATGATTGCTTACTTTTTCACACAAAACCTCGAAACATTCACATATAGCTGGAATGTTGCTGAGGTCGGCGTTAAACAACAAACCAACCAACCAACCAAATGACGTGTTGAACCAACGGGTAAATGGGTCATGTGTTGGTTAAAACTCACAGAGACACACTAAACTGACAGCCCGTTTAACAAATAGCAACAGGTTAATAGGTGGAATTGTTTGACGACAGCGTACATGTACCTTGTCGTTGACCGGAGTTCATAGATTATCACTGGATTGTCTGTACCAGATTCGATTATTGACAGGATGCCGTCATATTGTAAGAATAATGTTCAGCGTTGAACAACAGACCAACAAGCACATCAAACAGCACTGAAAACGTCATCTATTTGCCCTGGGCAAAATAGTCTCAGCCAACTAACCATCCAAACGGATGAATACACACCTGGCTGCTGATGTGCGCTATCGCTCATGTTATCAACCACTGTTTGCCTGTAATGTTCACACAGGCCACGATATTCCATGATAGATGTAAACCGCCGACTGTGTCTTGATATAACCGATAATAGCGAAACCCCGTTTATGCGGACGGCAGTTTTGCCGCATCATTTGTTCAGAATGGGTAATAAGGTGTCAAGAGTAATCTATCGCTACACACACGTGGTCTCACTAGCAACCGCCTGGGCTAATTGTGAGTGAATGAGTGAGTCAAGTTTTACTCCGCTTTTAGCAATATTCCAGCAATATCACGGCGGGGGACACCAGAAATGCGCTTCACCCATTGTACCCATGCGGGGAATCGAACCCAGGTCTGCAGCGTGACGAGTTGACGCTTTAACCACTAGGCTACCCCACCGCTGGGCGATGGGTGTTACGGCAAAATCCTCCCCGAACCATGGAGATTGTGAGTACGCCGCTTCTAACAATATCCCTGCAATATCAAGGCGGGGACACCAAACTTGGGCTTCACAAATGGTACCCATGTGGAGAATCGAACACGTGTCTTCTGCTTAACGAGCAAGCGTTTTAACCACTAGGCTACCCTGCCACCCCCAAACAATGGAAGATTCACTGTCGGTTCCTACCTGACTTGCCCAACAAACTCAGTCAGTATACCTGCTAGCCCTGGGTACATGGAGTGTATCGATAGGTTCACAGCTTACATTCGGAGTGTCTCGACTGTAGGTAATTAGAACATGCAATTTTAAAAGAATTGTCGAACATCGCAGACCTAATTAGACGTTAAAGGGGCACTGTTTGTATTATATTTTGTCTTTTGTTTCGATTCTTTCAAAGACAGGAGAATGCGTACAAAGAATTCCTCCTGCTCACGACAGCGACATCCATAGAACGGTATACAGGTAGCATACGCTGCAGTAGAGCAACCGTGTCACCTCTGTCAACAATTATAATGTTCGGCTGTCGCTACAGCAACCAACATATGTAACGATCGAGAAATAGTTTCAGAATATCAACTTTCGTTAGAAAAAGTTCGTAAATTTCCAGATTAATACGGTTCAAGAGTATGGAAGTAAGAATAAAGTCTAGTGTAGCATCAGCGTTATTTTAGCCTCACATCAACGTAGAAACTATATGCGACGTGAATGTCTGGAAGAAGCCTGGCAGTGGTGTATCGTCTGAGATGATTAGTTTCGCGTCAATACTATTATGATGCTAATGGTTTTTGAAAGAATAGAGAGGGGCGGTGGGGTAGTCTAGTGGTTAAAGCGTTCGCTCGTCACACCGAAGACCCGGGTTCCATTCCCCAGATGGGTATAATGTTAGCAACCCATTTTTGGCCTGCCCCGCGGCGATATTGCTGAAATATTGCTAAAAGCGGCGTAAAACCATACTCACTCATTGTAAGAATAGACCTTGTTCTCTGATGTAACAGGTATCAGGCATCTTTAACGCTTAACTGTTAATCGAAAGCTGTTAACCGCTGAGTTATCTTGGCCCAGTAGCGTTCACTGGTTCGGATAAACACACAGGTTCTATTTCCCTCAAGGGTAAAATCTGTTATGTTATTGGAAACTCCTATCAAGCTATGGCTGGAGTATTGGTTAAAATGTCGTAAACCTATCTCACTGTCCCGTATCCAAAGCCCAATTTGATCTTCAGTAAAAAAATATGGAAGGTTAGCAGGCATCATTTACATAGCATTTCCTTTTCGGCATTATATACATTTTTGTGTCATAACACAATTATAATTTACACAATTATCATTTTCACAACGTAGGCAATCATCTCCGCAACATCTACACATAGGAGGCAATCTCCTCAACATTTACACAATTAACATTTACACAATGGGGGCGATCATCTCCGCAACATTTACAAAATCAAGGCAATCATCTCTGCAACATTTACACAGTGTAGGCAATCATCTCCGCAACATTTACACAATCAAGGCCATCATCTCCGCAACATCAAGGCCATCATCTCCGCAACATCTCAAGGCCATCCGCAACATTTACAGGCAATCATCTCCGCAACATTTACACAATCAAGGCCACCATCTCCGCAACATTTACACAATCAAGGCAATCATCTCTGCAACATTTACACAGTGTAGGCAATCATCTCCGCAACATTTACACAATCAAGGCCATCATCTCCGCAACATTTACACAATCAAGGCCATCATCTCCGCAACATTTACACAATCAAGGCAATCATCTCCGCAACGCTGTTTTTAACGTTATTCTTGTGGTATATGGGTATTTTAGCTTGATGTAAGGGGTATGCCCGCAGCGATACTGACTTGCCTGGAAGCATAATCCGGGAATTCCCAGCCACGGTCCGAGGATTCTGGCGAGTCCAGGGGAAGCAACTCTGTATAGCTAAATGCGGTGCCCGAGTCTGCAATACCTGCACGCCGTTAATGTGTGGGCGTTCGATATAACAAATTACACAATGTCTGTATAAACATCTTGCTTAGAACAACAATTAATGTAGATCAAGACATTTGTATTGATTGTAATAAAGAAAGCTCAGCGAAACAAATGTCAAATGTCATCTGGCGATGGCTTATATTGAGCATCTTTCAACTCCCCGCGTCTCTGGGATGTTGTTGTGTTTAAATATTCATCCTACAATGTCCCCCTCCCACACCCCACACACACACACACACACACACACACACACTCCTACTGCCTGATGGTCCCCAAGAGAGCCGGGATGACTGCCCGCTGATTACATTCCAAATCTCCATTCGTTCTGTCAATAGCCTACGTCTCAGGACGGAATACGAATCTAACAGGCTTGTCACACGTTGTCTATTTATGGGCCAGAACATTCCGTCAAGTAATACAATAGCTGATTTTATTGTGAACAGGATCATATTTTACATCCGTCTGTGGCACTAAGCAAGTAGTCCGCCTCCATATCCTGGGACACGAACAAGGGTGGCCATTATTCAAAAATGGCTGACAGTCTTATGGTCATCGCATGGGCAGTCTCGGAAAATTATGCTGTCCAGTCAACTCGTCCTCCATTCTGTCTTACGTGCCCTATAATTAGAAAGTCTGAACGTGTTTCCATTATCCTGCCTCTAAATGCGGATATGCTGTGATGTGTTTAAAAGAAAATCTGCATGACCGCTTCCACACATAATCCCATAGTGTCTGCAAAACAAGATCCCACAAATCTGCAAATATTGCTGAATGCGGCGTTAAGACAAACACTCGAGATTCATACGAACCAGTGGTTACTTAATGACGAAATACTACCTCTTCTTTGAACGAATCCTCAAGGCTAAACCAAAGATCGGAAATAAATTAAGCACACCCAGATGGCTGACCCTTCTTATGTCAATGACCATAGCTGTCAATATCCGTTGATTGCAGGGTTGATCCTAAGCTCGGAATTTAAATCAGAATTACTTGTGTTGAGTTCTTGGTGTAAAGGTTTGCGAGCTGCATCAAGTTTTTTTTCTTTTCTTTTTTGATAATTGTTTGAAATCCATGACACCTTTAACGATTACAGGTAGCAAGCGTTAGGAACAATATGAGTAAGTGAGTGTGTTTGGTTTTACGCCGCACTCAGCAATATTCCAGCTATAAAGCGGCGGCCTGTAAATAATCGAGTCTGGACAAGACAATCCTGTGATCAACATCACGATCATCGATCTACGCAATTGGATACGATGACATGTGTCAACAAAGTCAGCGAGGCTAACCACCCGATCCCGTTAGTCGCCTCTTACGACAATCATGGGTTACTGAAGACCAATTCTAATCCGTATCTTCACGGGTAGGAGCAATATTAACACTAACTCACAATCAATATATCATGGCGTGTATCAAAGTTTGTATTTCATGTATTTTAATGTCCCTTAGAATCATCAACTAGATATCAGATTTTAATTACCTTAACATGTTTTTTTAAAAGCAATTTGAAGCTTAACGACTGTGTTGACAAGCTACTGTGGTTGTCTTTGTCGGCAAACAAGGCCATCGTGTTATAGGCTTTTCATATGTACATATATGGTCAATCCATGTAACGACTTTGTATGCTATAAAAAGCATGAAATGAATATGAAATGAATAGTTGCTTCAGGCATGCAACACATCACCAGCTTTCAATATTTTGCAATATCTTATATGAACGCCGTTGCGTTTTCCCATTC